AAAAAGAAAGAAAGAAAGAAAAGTAAAAGAAAAGAATACATAAAAGAAAAAACTCAGAAATTTACCAAAATATCCAACAAAACTGAAATTATTTTAATATTTGAACTAAATTTTTAAATTTAGTTGGTATAACTGTGCTTTAAGGTATTTGCATAAACTTCCTATCTTAAGCATATCAATCTCTATAATGTTTTTTTTAACAATAAAAATCGTATTAAATCATGACAAAAAAAACCTGTCTGTCTTTCTATAAATTCCTAGATTTGAATGAATTAGTACTGTTGATACAGGATTTTACCAGTCAGGGTTAGACAGGGAGTCCCCCATTCTTTAGGCCCAGGGCTCAGAGGTCAGACCCCCATTTCCAAGCACAAGCAGACTGCCTTCCTGTGATGGTTTTTTTGAGTGGCTCCACCTTGGGTAAGACCACACACTCTAATCCCTTCTCAGGGACAAAGACTGTAAAGGACATGATAACTACATGCATTCATTTGTTAATGCACCCATTTCCACCTACCAACTGCCAGGCAGGTGTACTCCTCTAGACCCAGTTCCCCTAGACAAAGAGTCCATGTGGAGACTCCTGGGAGAGTTCTTCAGTTCTTTTCTCCTTCCAGCTCTGGTGTTTTTTTACTTTTTCTGTGTTCCTTTCTAATTTGTAATAAAAGACCTATCTTACCACTGATCTGTGGTCTGTGGGTTCATTCTTCGAATCCCCAAGACCAAGGACCTACTGAAGAGTAAAATTCCGGTATCACTGTTATCTGAACTCTGGTCATTTATACCAGAAACAATTTCATAAATGCTATTTCCTTACCTGTTTTTTTAAATTATTATTTTATTACTGCTATACTTAACTTACTTAGCCTCACAATCTCATAGCAGCAATTAATGATGGAAGGAATCAACTGTCCCAGAAGCATTATCAGGTTTTCCCCTCTCACAGACCAGTTTTCTGTACTAACTTTCTACTCTTAGAGTACAAAGAGGCACTTCTGGAGACCCCTTTATATCGCTGAAATAGTATTTGGTATTTTCACTTAAATAACACTTGTGGTTTGTATGTCCTTTGTGTTTCTGTTTTCTTTTTTTCCTCTCAAGTTAGGTATTTCCCAAACTGAGATAAATAAGTCTACTCTAAAAATTTTTAGTGCAAAGCTGTAGAAAATGCAGCATCATCTCCAAAACATCCTGCTTTGGTCAGACCATTTTTAAAATGTTCATATACCTGGTATTTTGTTTATTTGTATCATTTACAATTTTAAAAGCATTCATATTTTTATTTTCATTTTGGTATCCATCCATGCGAAGATTACACGTTTATCTGAAATATTACTTTTCCTTTTTCAGAAAGTTTTCATGGAGAGAAGATGCTGATACAACTTAAGTGAAAATGTCTTTTTAGTAGTTGCAATGAGGCTAAAACCCATGTTGGTGATGAGCCAGCCCCCTTGTGGGATGGAT